ATGGGTGGCAGGGGGGGGCCGCCCTGCCGTCTCCCCACAGGATACAGGGGGGTCTCTGCTCCGGCACACCTCCCCCCTCCTTCCTTCCTCCGTTCCTCCACTGACCTTGGTGTTCATGCAGCTGCAGCAACTCCTCCTCACAAGTCCCACTGCCCGTCACCACGTCCCTTCTTAAATACGTTATCGCAGAGGCGCAGCCGATTGGCTCAATTTCCCAAACAGAAGTGGAGCTGACGTGGAGCTGGGGGAGCTTCGAGGAGCTTCTCACAGGGGGCCGCCCCGATAGCCCCCTCCCCTGCCACCAAAAATCCCCCCCACTCACTCAAACCCAGGACAGCTGGTGACTCCACCACCTCCCCGGGCAGCCTGTTCCAGCGCTTGACAACCCTTTCGGTGAAGAAATTCCTCCCACCCTCCACCCTAACCCCCTTGAGGCCGTTCCCTCACGTCCCTGCCTATCTCCACGCTGCCGATTTGGAGCTCGCTTGCAGCCAGGGCAAAACCTGGGGGCAAGAGCCTGCGCGGCGCGGGGGCTCACGCTGCGCTTTACCCGGGCTTTGCTTTCTTCACAGGCGGAGCCCGTGCTGGGGGGGAAGGCGCCTGGATCCTGCGTGACCCCAGGCAGCAGCTCCGGGCCCCTCCTGTGGCTACCAGCCACCGCCCTGGTGTTGCCCTCTGCAAAAAGCAGGTGGGACCAGCTCCCCGGGGCCCGGCGGCAGCAGGTCGAGGCAGTCCCCCAGCTGCAGCAAGACTCGTCTGCCCGCAGCTCTCCAGGCTTCCCCCCGTGGCAGCAAAAACCAGCCCTGCAGCCCGAGGCGCGCTCAGCAGGCGCTTTACTGATCCTTCCAGCCCTACCGAGGCAGGGGCAGAAGATAATTTTAAAAGCAATGAGGAAAAGGGCTTATAAATAGATGCAAGAGAAATTACGGAGCCGGCAGAGCTTCTTTGCACATCATAAAGCACGAGACTACAGCGATGAAATCACGGTGCTCCTGCTCCGAGCAGGTTATTTCTCCTCGAGCTGCACCTGAGCTCTCCATCCTGCCGGGGCCGAGCGCGGGCAGAGAGCATCACCTGCCCCAAAAGTTCGATCAGAACCGCAACAAGCTAAAATTAATGCAGAAAGGAGCGCGACTCACCTTCTTCTTCCTTCCAAGTATTCTAAGCTGGTCACCGCTGTTCGCCCATGAAAGGGGAGAGCAGCTTTTTCACTAATGACTTGCTTTTCTTTACGCCTGCTCGCTTATTTTCCGCACGGGCTGGGCAGGAGCTGGGCACAGGCAGGGGAGCACAACCCCCCCCCGCCGGGGCTCTCCTGCTTGAAGTGGCCTCAGAAGTGACTGAGGCTGCGCTGGGTCACTGAGTGGGGAGGGTGCAGCTTGCCTTTTCTTGACTTTGTTCATCTTTTGAACAGTTGCATAAGCCCTCGTTGGCTTAATTGACCTCACTCCCGTCACGAGGGGAGAAGAAACGGGAGCTGCAGCTCATCAGTACAAATCACCTGGGGGTGCGGGGCTTTTGGTGTTTTTTTTTTTTTGTTTTTTTGTTGTTTGCTTTTGATCCCTGAGGTTTCAATACACTCTTCCACCCAGTCCTGTGTAAAAGATGCCAGGCTTGGCCACTGCACTTAGCCAACCTCAAACTGCAAGATGATTCCCAGCTGCACAAACCCAACAGATTTCATGGGCTGCAGCGAAGCACGACTGCTCCTGGATTTCAAAGCTGCTCTCCCTTTTGCAATTAATGACGCCACAGCTCTGCAAGATGATGCACCTGTACTCAAATGGATGCTGTTTTCATGGAGGAAAAAACTCCAACCCCTAATCCACTAACCCAGACTTCCAGATTACTGCAGAAAACACGTCACAGCCAACTGGAGAAATCCTTGGCATGGGCGAGGGGCCACTGGGACCCTGCGAAGCAGCAGCCTGGCCAGCAGAAAGCCAGCACAAGTCAGCCGAACGAAAGCATAGCTGACAATTTATCACATAATAAAGTTTTTGGTGCTCAGCAATGCTTGCTCCTCCCTGCGTGCCCAGGGCAAGGCCCTCTGCTCATCTGCAGTCGGAAGTGTGAACTTTTAAGGGGCGGAGTGAGGGGCGGGGGGGGGAAAACACACACACCAAAAAAAAAAGGCCAAAGATTTGTTTGCTTTAGTTCCTGGCAGGGGTGGCAGAAGAGGTCAGCTGTGCAGACTGTCGGCACCAGGACTGCGCTTCCCCTAAATGCAAGAGATTTGTTGCAAAGCAGCATCAGTGACGCGGGGCGCGGGCAGCGGCCCGGCAGGGACCAATCCTCCCTGCAAATTGCTGCTGCTACCAGGGGGAAACCTGTTGTGTATCTCGAGCTGCACCAGGAGCCCTCAGGGCTCCCCAGTTTGTTATCTGGATACCTCCCCCCCCCCACCCCGTGTTAATGAAGTCTAGCTCGAGAGGTGGCCCCAGAGCCTCAAGCATCACCCTGGAGGGGAACTGCACAGCCCTTTTTCTCCCTGTAGGGTCTTCGTGTTTCCCTTGCGCTTCCCACTTCTCGCAGCTGAAGATGTCTGAAATCTTACCAGCCCCCGTGGCCTCGTTACTGTTCGTTCCCGCTGCACTTCGAACCCTGGAAAGCCCGAAACCTTTCAGAACAGCTTGGGAGGGAACCGTGGCTTTGATTTCCCGCCCGGCAGCCCGACCGCAGGCAGCAGAGCCACGCTGAAACCTGGGGAAAACTCACGCATACCTGCCGACACGTCCCGCCACGCACCACTGTGTTTTTAACCTCGGGCAGACACGCAAAGCGGGGTGAAACCACAGCTCGGGCTGCCACGCCAGGACCCTCGCCCCAAACCACGGCGGCTCCTGGGCCATCCCGGGTTGTCCCCTTGGCAGGGACCCGGCGGCTGAGACGCCCCGAGCCCCAGCGCGGCGCCGAGCGGCCGCGGGCAGGACGCCCGCCAGCAACGCGGGTCAGAGGAACAGCCCCGTCCCAGGAGGAAGCAACGGCTTGGAGAGAAGTGCAAACCAGCTCTTCATTCGGCTGCGTTTATATCCGACGGACAAATCGATACGTCACACTTCAAAACAAACCTGAAGCCTGTGCAGACAAGCCCGGGGAGTTTTGCAGAAGCTGAGCCAGTGCAGCATGAAATCACCCCAGAAAGAACACACAAATGGGAAGCTAAAAATAAGACACACACCCCCCCCCCTCAAAGAATTGCTTTACTTCTCAATAAAGCCGCTAGTAAACTCAAAACGCGTTGGCCTTAAAAAACAAAACAAACGTATCTGATACTTTCTAGATTTGCCGGAGGGCTACGCTTTCAGACGCACGGAAGCAGTGAGCTTTTCTGGCCAGTACCTGATAAAAACTCGGCTGTCAGAGCTGAAAGCGTCAGAGTGATTCATAATTATGTCAGTGGTACCAGAACAACAAATTTTGCGGAAAATTTTAAGGGTTCTGCACAGAAATCGCATCCGGTATCAGTGCATCCCTTTCCATCTCCTCTGCTTTTACGGCGTCAGGAGCTTAACGTGCCCCCTTCGCCAGCGTCTTGGAGGATAAAACAAACCAGCTCAACGCATGAAGAAGCAACAACCTCCATCCCCCTTCTTTAAATCAACCCCTCCGGGCCGGGCACGAGGCTCAGACACGCTCAGGGTTTAGGTCCCAACAAGCCGGTCTGTGGTTTTCACTCCTCGGCCTTTAAAACACAGGACGCCAGCGTCCACCTTCAATCGTAAGAACTTTATTGCCTGGTTTTTCGGTTCTCTCCAGCAAGGACGTGCCTTCCCCGCGCTGCCGCTGCCCTGGCGCGGGAGCAGCGGCAGATCAGGCTGGTGGAATCGCGTCTCCCTCCCGGAGCTGCTCCTCCTCCGGGCTCATCGCGCCGAACGTTCGTTGTCGGCGACGTTTCCAGAAGGCTCCTGACAGAGTCATTTGTTAGAGCGACACCCGAAATGTCAACTTCTCGACAAGCCGCTGCTCCGGCTTTCAATCCCGTTTTTGATTGAAGTACCATAAAAACAAGAAGCGGAGGAGGTCGGAGCTCCGGCCGCTCCCTTCTGCTCGGGTTAAGTCAAGCGGGCGGCGGCGGGCACGCGGCTTCTGAACCCCCCGAATCGCTGCTGTTGAAGGACACCCACCTGCCCTGCGGGTCCTGGGCCGTCCCCACCCCACCGGCGGGCCGGGAAAGGTGAGGAGGGTCCTGAGCTCTTCCCCCAGGGTCACAGCTTGCTCTCACATCCCCTCTCACTCCATTTGCAAAAAAAAAAAAAAGCAGCTTTAATTCTTTCGTGCCTGACACAATTCCCAACACCTGGAAAAGGCGACCATCACGCCCATCTCCAAGGAGGACGAGCTGAGGAGCTACGGGGCAGGTTGTGCCAGCGGCTGAGGGAGGGACGTGGAGGTTGGACACCGTGACCCGGGCGAGGCCGCTGGCACCGCTGCCACGCGGCATCCTCGTGCCCAAATCAACGGGGAAGTGGCCGATCTGGTGCTGGAACTGCAGCCTAAGGAGCTGAAGCGCAGGCCACCAGGACGGTTACGGCGCTGGAGTCCGCGAGAAGCTCGGAGAGCCGAAGCAGGTTTTATCCAGCGGGGCACAGCGACAGGGCAAGAACCCAACGGGCGCAAGTTGAAACACCGTAAACTCCAGTCGGAGATTAGGAAAAATTTTTTTCAACGTATGGGTGGTCAAATATCGGAACAGGGACCTAGACACCGTGGACTCTCCATCCACATCCACTGAGTATCTCCACTCTTGGAGATATTCAAGCGTCGCCATCCTGATCTAAGTGGACCAGCTCTGAGTGGGGTTGGGTTAGAGAGCTCAGAGGTGCCTCCTGACCTCAGCTACTCCATGGCTGTGTGTCACCGTGAAGAGTCAGCTTAAGTTTTAATCTCAATCCCCACCGCCAGCAAGGTGACAGCTTCCAAGCCTCGGGGCCTCCTACCATAAAAGGATCAAACAGCCTCGCTTGGGATGGACAGAGAGCAGCCAAGCCCAGCATAAATAAATACGCGCAGAGAAAGAATTAATTCATGTTGCAGAATAACCCTCACAATTTCAATGCAGAAACATTAAAAGCCCGCTGACAGCATCACCCAAATAACAGATGTTTTTCCTCACTAGGCTCTTCAACAGAGTCCCCGAATGCAAAGCTTTTCGTTCACCTACGCTTCAGTCCTCTCCTGCAACGCCGCGGAGTCCGCCCTGGGGGTCGGGCAGAGCTTACAACGTCCCCAAACCCCCCCGGGGCCTGGGCAGGTCTCAGAGGAGCCGGAGAGGAGATGCCCCACTCGCTGCCGGGGGCTCTGGCACAAGCAAGTCCTTCGCAGTTGGCCGGCTTTGTTTTTTAGCTTACACCTGTCACCTTGAGCTTTCTTTCCAGGGTGAGTCTCCTCCCAGCAGCTGGTCGGGTGAGGAGCTCCTGGGGCTTCAGTCCAGCTTTTTTACCATGTAAGGCCCTTCCAGCTCGTAGCCGATCTTCCTGTAGTAGTTCCTCGTGCCAACACCTGTGACAAGAATGACAAAAAGCTTTAATGCAGGGTGGTGACAAAAGAGTTGGAGAAGCCAGGGCCGGGCAGGAAAGTCACTTCCATGGAGGGGTGGTGCTGAAAGGAGCTCGGGCCTCTCGGAACAGCTGGCACTGGGCCTCCCCGGCTGCCGTGCTGGGGCAGGGGTGTTTACTCCTTAGCATCTGGCCTGACTGCGGTGTTTTTCAGGAGGGAAACGCAGGAACGTGGCTGTTCTATCTGCCCTGAATCACACCCCCCATCCTTCATCTCGAGAGAGGCTGTGAGCTGTGAGGGAGAGAGGCATCAACACGGGAACAACAGTGAAACGTGAGTCAAGAGTTCAGAGTACCTCAGGTACAACAAAACCCAAGGATGGGCTCTTGAGAGGAGGCGGCCCAGCTGCGGGCATCATTACCAGGAACTGCAGGGCTCTAAAACCCGACAAACTCTGTCCAATCGCTCCCAGAAATGAGCTCAGCTCCACTTCAGACAGACAAGTGGGCTCCGCAGCCGCAATCCAATTTCCTCGTTGAAAAGGACAGCTCCGAGCGCCTCGGTTCTCAAAGAGCCTCTTCCCTCTCTTAATGAGACCCTGCGGCGCCCGCGCTCAGGGCGAGCCCGGCCCTGCCGACCGCGGCTGCCTTCCCCGCCGCATCCTGCGGCAGGACAGGGCCAGCACAGCAGCCTTCCCCCTCACCTTATCTAATTACTCACAGATGCAGGCATTAGTCATCGGGGGGGAGGGAGGAGGAATTCAGCATCGCGGCATCACTGTCGGCGCAGCTGGTGGGTAGGGACAGAAGGACAGAGAGAGGACACAGCTCTCCGTCAAGAAAAGCAGCCCCTCTTTCCTCTAATCTCAGCCCTCCAGCCAGTTCCTGGAAACTGCAGGCGCTTGCAAATGGCTCTCCAGGAATCAGGCTGCATCTCCCGTGCAGGCAGCGACCCGGTGCAGCTGGTAACCCCTTCCTGCCCACGCGTCGCCGCGGCTATTTTACCCATTGCTGCTTTGACAGATTTGGTTAAAACAGCAGTAACGTATTTCCCGAATGTACATTACAGTAGTTACTGAATGGCTGAAGCACCGCAGCTCCAGACAAACCCCCAGCCAGCATCCTGGAGAAGCACTGCATTAATTTAAGGTACGGAAAAAGATACCTAAACCCCAGACCTGAGATGTTCTCGTGCCTCTCATTCCAGCTGAAGCTGGGAAGAGCTTGAAAATACACAGAGAACCCCAAACTGGGGAACACCGGAGCAAATTTACTTCTAAGGAGTGGCAAAGCCCCTGTGACGTCGCAGCAAAGCACTGTCCTCAACTAAAAACATCCTGAAGGGACCCAAATTCACTCAGCTTCAGCATGAACCTGAAGCCAATGAAAAACCCAAGTCCACTGCACACACGTCCACTCCTCCCTTCCTGATCTCTGCCCAGAAGGGTTGGGATCTCTGACCTGGAGTAAACTATCACCTTTGTCGCTATCTTGCCTAAAAAACGTCCTCTGGGTTCGTTAGCGGAGATATTAGGGTATGACATACAGATCTGGGCAGTAACACAGCAAGAGCCACCCCGCTGGTGGCCCAGAACGACTTGGTTAAAAGGATTAACAAAATCTAAAGCAGTGATCCTCTTGAAGCTAAAGGACAACCGAGTAATTCAGCTGATGATTTTAAAAACACCTCGGTCAGTTATTTCACACTTCCCCTTTTTTCCCTAAAGCCCTGGGGGAATGTGTGGATTTTAAAGAAGGCACTTAGGCTGCGTGGAGCATCGTGTGCTGCCTCCATTAATCTCAGAGCTATTAAGTGGCGCTAGTTAAGCGTCAACTCTTCCTCGTTGGAGGGCGACGGGTTCAAGCCATTAACAAGAATGATGATGCAGTCGGCCAGCCCTGCGCCCCGGGGGTCCCACGCTGTGCCGCTTGGCGAGGCATCTCGGTCGTCATCTCAGCCCTGCTCGCAGCAGTAACTTCTCGCACAAAATTACTGTCCTTCAACAGGAAAGTCTTCCTCGAAGAGGAGGCAGGAGATGCCTCGAGCTGAGGGCTGCACCTGAAAATAACGGCGTGGTTTCCCTGCTGCCCAGCTCTAACTCGGGATGTCTCGCCCGCTCCAGCGTCGCAGGAATGTTCTCGAGGCTTTTGAGGGGAAAAGCCTCTCACCAAGGCGTCCCAAGGAGCAGCCACTGGGTTGACGTACAGAAACGTGGGAGGCAAGCGGCCAGGATTACATCCCCTGGAGCCCCGTACCACCGTACCGCGGCGCAGCGGGATGCAGTACCCACCTCTGGAAGCAGGGAAGAGCAGGCAGGAGCGGAGGCACGAGCCAACAGGACAAGGATTTCTCCTGGAGCAGGTCGGTAGGTGGAAGCACCTGGTGCTCAAGCCCACACCCCTACGCTGTACGGGACTGGGGGCGTGACTTCAGACTCGATTTTTGGTGTCCTGGACTGCACGTCCCCGCCACACACTTGGTCTGAAGTTGGCCAAAAAGCCATTCGTTCACCCTCTGCCCCCTTCAGAGGGTGGACTGCGTCCGACCTGCCTCTGGAGCAAAGCTTGTGGTTTAGATTCCTCCGAAATGAACTGTGCCGAAATGCACGAAAACCTCCCCGCGAGCCAAACTGGGGCACAAATGAGGATGGGATTCACTTCAGCTGCTCTGAACCCAAAGACTAACAAATCCAGCCTACAATATTCACTAGGGTGCCGTTAATACGAAGGGACCTCCTTGTAGTCAAAGTATATCAGGGAAATCACAACCTGCAGGGAGGACGGGTGTCATGAGATCAGCATGGCACAACTGGAAGAGAAACGGGGTGTTGAAGGATGGAATTAAAAGCAGGCTGCCAACCAGGAGCCATCCACAGCCCTCCTCATCCAGGAGAGAGGTGCAACACAGGAGGCACTGCTAAATGGAATAAAAGATCTGTGGGGCCCTAGAAGTCACGTAGAAGGAATCCATCTTCACAGACCTCACCGCTGTGAAATCATCACAACTTTGGATGAAGGCAAAGTCCAAAAAACCTGAAGGGTTATGCTGCTGGCTTCCGATCACGAGGAGAGTATCAACATGCAGTCCTAAGAAAATCAGAGCTACAGCTTTTAAAACAACGTGTCGTTTCATCTGCTCACAAGTCATCCTGGGGGTAAGAGCTGGAGAAGCAATTCGTAACATTCAGCACACACTCAATACTTGTCCACCAAGCATAACTGAAAGGAAGGTCTCAATGGCACAAGTTCTCTTCCCAAATCTTTACCGCTCTAATTTACAGCAAAAATACCACAGAGCTGGTGGGACAAGTTCAGGCACTGAACTTCCTACTGCTCCAAGTCGCACCCGTGTAAAGAAACATCATCCAAGAAATATCACAAAAGAAATATCACACAGGAGCGGGAGAGTGAGGCCAAAAGCTGGGCCAAGAAGCTTTTTGACTTTCCAAACCAGAATTGGCTGCATTTTCATTCCGGGTCTTTAAAACAGGGTTTTAAATTGTAAATATTCCATATCAAAGTGTGCAGGAGAGCTTAGCTTGAACTCAGCAGAGCAGATTTCAACCAACCACTTTCAGATTTGCTGCCAGTGATTTGGGTGAAGGGCAGGAGCTCTGATCACTTCTGCCTGGATGGAAACCCATGGCCAGGGGCCAGCTGAGGCTTTTTGGAAGCGTCCCTCCCCACAATCTTCAAATGACACATCCTCTGGCAACGGCTGCTGGTTAACTTAATTGCTTTTTGTTCTCTTTTTTTTTTTTTTTTTGGAAGCATCTGACTAATGGTGAAGCCTACTGATAAAATCTCAAGCCTGGCTTTTCACCATATCATTTAAACCTCAAAAAAAAAAAAAAAAAAAAAAAAAAAAAGAAATAAAAGCCTGCCTGCAGCAGGGAACACAGAAAAGTGACCCCAGCATCAGAGTTAACTGCTGTTTTGGCCCAGAAGGACGAGCAGTCGGCACAGGGCTGCTACCCAGAGGATGGCACAAGTCAGATTTCATTGCCCATGTGCCGCAACCCCTGCCCATGACCTTTTCTGTGCAGGGCCCATAAATACACCCTTCTGACTCAGCCCTGCCACACAGAAATATTGCGATGCAGCATCCGAGGCTGAGTATCCTCAAAGATTCCTTCACCACGGCTCACTGGTCACAGAACTAAGTGAAAATGAGATTGTTTTCGGGATCATTAAAGAGCTACTAATAGTTCATAAAATTTCCATAGCAGAGACTTACTGAGGCACACAAGAGACTTATCCCTACACAGGCCTCCGCATCTTCTGGCAACGACTAAAATCTTTTCCGAAGATGCGCAGTCGAGGCGTACCGTGTCTCGCAGCTCCCTTCCCCCTGCAAAATATTTCTCAGGAGGAGTTAGCGGGACCCTGTGCGCAAGGCAGCCAACCTGAATCAGCTCAACTTTTCCTCAATCCATTAACGTGCCAGCTGCAGCGCTGGCGATAGCAAAGCCTCTTTTGGTTTTTTTTTTGGGTTTTTTTTTGGGGGGGGGGAGTAACTACCTGGCTCGGCACTTTGCCTGAGGAAGGGAGAGCCCCGAGCTCACTGCGCGGACACCCGGATCGCCCGTAGGGTCTCTGCCAAGTGGGAATGTCCTTCAAGGGTGATGAGAAAAGAATTGGTGGTTAGCGCGGGCAACAGGACAGGAAAGGGCGATGCTGCTTTCACCGAAGCGCTATGGATTTCACCCAGAATGAGCAGCGAGCCTCAAGCCAGCCGCTGGGATTTGGGATGGCCGCGGCTGCCGCTCGGGGTATCGAAAAGCACGTTCTGCCCGTGGTTCCCAGTGTTGCTGCTGGCACAGCGATGCTCTACGAGGGAAGCGCTCCGCCACGGCTGGAAGATAATTTTTGCAGTTTTGAAAAGGCACGGAGAAGGAAGCAACAAAGACTTCTGCAGTCACCTGCGGTGCTTCCACGGACGTCGGTAAAACGCAGCCGTGGCGCAGAGCCGGGCAGGAGGCTCGGAAGCCGCCGCTGCCACGG